ACTTTAAAACTACCAACAAATAAATTGTGAGTTAAAATAGAAAAGGATAAGAAAAAGAAATTACTCAAATTTTCTACTGACGCACTCAATAGGGAATAAGATCAGGGATATACTACTATAAAATTACATATCAGGAAAACTACAGCTATCGCTTTCTTTTATAGTACTATACAGGTTACCGAAAGCCACAATATGAACAAACTATAAAAGGAAAATTATTTAAACCAATGAGAAACAAAAGAAAAACAAAAATTAATATGCAATTACTTACAGCAAGGGAAGATGTTTGCAGACATGCACTTTTAATCCTTGGTATCAAGGCATTTTTCATGGATGGGTAGTCTATAAGATTTGCAAAGGTTGGAATGATGTTTAGACAGAGTTCCTATTAAGAAAATTAATTGGATCAATCTTAGGGACTCACCTTTTCTCTCACATATTGAAAAACATTTTGCATTTGTATGGCTAATTTGTCACATGGTTTAAAATAAACTTTTATGTATGTCAGTCGTATCATTTGGTCTGTTCAGCGACTATTTGAAAGAATAGTTATTTTCAGTTTTCAATTTTACAGATGAGGAAACAGGCTCAGAAGGCTTCCTCAAAATCATACTGTGTTATAAAACTAGCATATGGTGCCGAAATTCCCTGATCTCGTTCTAACTTCTTTCCCTGATAACACGATTCTTTATTTACTTTTGAAAACAAGAAACTTCAGAACACCTGTTTTCTTTATATTTTTAAGTACTTCTAAATTCTGAAACTTAAGCAAGTATAACTCATAGAAATGGGAAAGGTTATTTAAAACATTCTTGTTAACTAGTGCCATGGCACTGCATAAATAATTGAAACTGGTAACTATGATGAGGATAATGGGAAAAAGAACGATGAATAAGTGGATTAAAGTAAGGAAAAGAAGAACAATGGCTGAGAACTAACTGGCTGAAGAACATCTCAGATACCTGATAAGGGTCAGAATGATCTTCTAGCAAAGCATAGAAGGGATTACTAAAGAAAATGGAAATGTCAATGTGTGTCGAAGAAGGAGTTATTGACAATATTTGGTAAACTGAAAGACGTTCATTTGCCATTAGCAGATAAAAACCAGTTAACCACTAAGACTCTTGTTATCGAAATACTGGGAAGCCTTTTATTTAACTTATTCCCAGATTTTCAAAAAGCAGATATAAGACAGTTATATGGTTTTTTTTTATTTTTTTAATTTTTTTATTTTTTAAAATTGATTATGCTGTTACAGTTGTTCTATTCCCCCCTTCATTCCCCTCCACCCTGCCCCCCATCCCCACCATTACCCCCCTTTAGTTTATGTCCATGTGTCCCAAGTCCTTTAGGTTCTATATTTCCCATGCTATTCTTGCCCCCCCCCATCTATTTTCTATCTACTGTCTATGCTACTTATTTTCTGTACCTTCTCCCCCCATCTCCTCCTCCCACTCCCCTGTTGCTAACCCTCCTTGAGATCTTCATTTCTATGTTTCCACTCCTGATCTAGCTGTTCTTTTAGTTTGCTTTCGTTTTAGGTGTGGTTGTTAATAACTGTGAGCTTGTTGTTCTTTCACTGTTCTTGTTTCTTTAACTTCTTTTTCTTAGATAAGTCCCTTTAACATTTCATATAATAAGGGCTTGGTGATGATGAACTCCTTGAATTTGATCTTATCTGAGAAGCACCTTATCTGTCCTTCCATTCTAAATGAAAGTTTTGCTGGATAGAGCAATCTTGGTTGTAGGTCTTTAGATTTCATGACTTGGAATATTTCTTTCCAGCCCCTTCTTGCCTGTAAGGTCTCTTTTGAGAAATCTGCTGACAGTCTGATGGGGACTCCTTTGTAGGTGATTGTCCCCTTAGCTCTTGCTGCTTCTAGGATTCTCTCCATTTTAATTTTGGCTAATGTAATTATGATATGCCTTGGTGTGTTTCTTCTTGAGTCCAACTTTTTTGGTACTCTCTGAGCTTCTTGGATTTCTTGGAAGTCTATTTCCTTTGCCAGATTGGGGAAATTTTCTTTTATTATTTGTTCAAATAATTTTTCCACTGGTGGTTGTGTCTTTCCCCCTTCTGGTACCCCTATAATTCGGATATTGGAGCGTTTAAAGATGTCCTGGAGGTTCCTAAGACTCTCCTCATTTCTTTGAATTCTTGCTCCTTGACTCTTTTCTGTTTGGCCATTATTTGCTTTCTTCTGGGCCACTTCATTGATTTGAGTCCCAGTTTCCTTTTCATCTCTATGGGTTTTCTGTGGAATTCCATTCATTTCCCTTAGTTTAGCCTTCATATGTTTCTCTAATTTGTGGCTATAATCAACCAGATCTGTTAGGAACCTGATGACCAGTGTTTTAAACTGTGCGTCTGAGAGTTTTGCTATTTCTTCGTCGCTTAGATTTATCTCTGGGACTCTGAGGTCTTCCTGCGACATTTTTGGTCTGTTCTGGCCCTTTAAATGTGAGAAGCAGCGCCTTGGACTCCCAGGTCGCTGGGTTGTGACGCTGTATGTGGGGGCGTGGTCAGAGCGGGGGAAATGGCGGCGCCCTCTACTGCCGCAAGCCACGGGGACCGCCGGGCCCGGTCCAAGCGCCCACTTCCTCGCCTGTCCGCTCGCCCACAGATAGGCAACTGCAGTCAACACGCAGCACCGCCTCCCCACTGTCTCCTCAGCAGTCGCTCACCCGGTGGGTCGCTCGGTCGCTCACTAGGTCCAATCCTGGGTTTGGAACCCGTGCGTCTGGATTCGCGCGTCTGGATTCCGCTCCTGGGTCCGTCCAACCGGAGTCCTGTGCAACCCCTCACGAGACGCCGGTTTCGCCCCTTACCGGTCGGGCTGAAGAATTTGTTGTTACCGGACTTCCGAAAAGTTCAATTTTCCGTGTTCTGGTTGTGTTTTCTGATGCTAATATTTAGTTGTCCCTAAACTTGGTTGTGTGAGAAGGCACGGCACATCCACCTATACCTCCATCTTGGCGGAAGTCTCCGAGAGTTATATGTTTGTATACACTCAGTATTACTTTGTACTAATTGAGTGGCATCACTGAGGATAAGATACACAAGCTACATTTAAGAAAACATTTTCCACAGAGGGGAGAGAATAAACAAGAGTGAGCAGTCAGTGAGATACCGCATTCCTCTTACCAGAGGAGAAAGATGTCTTTAATTGATGGGGGGAGGCTGGTGAGGGGCAGAGAGAGAGAACTATGATGTATAATCTAGCAAATTACAAAGAGGCCAATCTTGAGTCATGATTAAATCACTTAGCAAAAGGAGGGGAGAGCTCTCTCCATCAGAGAAGGTAGATTGAAGAACCTAAGAACAGGAGATTGAAACTGAGTTTCAGAAGTTACTTTCTAGCCATGTGTCTGTGTGGAGCTTGAGGAAAAGATTTTTGTTTCTTGCTCTTGCTCTGGGATGGGGCATCAAACTCTTTCACAAGGGGCCACATCAGCCTCGAGGTTGCCTTCAAAGGGCTGAAAGTAATTTTAGGGCTGTATAAATGAAACTACTCCTTAACAGTTAAGTGAGAACTTGGTGCTGCCACCAGATAGAAACAAGGTGCCAGGCCAGGTAAAACAAGGCGTCTCCGGAGGGCCAGATTTGGCCCTCGGCCCCTGTGTTTGCCACCTGTGCTCTAGGACTCTTCTAGAGCTTAGACAGGCTTTATCAGACTCTGACCAAGTAAGGTTGATACTAGTTAACTGGACTGGTGGTTAACACATATTAAGTAATGTCATAAATGTTGCTTTAACTATTTCACTAAAATACTGCCTGATACCCATGGGCAAAATGAACTCCCTTATAAAGAAAAGTAGCCTTTTTTCTTTATAGGAAGGTTAAATCACTTAACCTTCCCTCTCCTTCCTAATCTCACTGAATATAAACCCAGGTTGGCTATACAGGGCCTGCGGGAACATTTCAAGAAGCTGTACTGACAACTCCTTTGGAAAGAGCTAAAGAGTAGATGTATAGTACACTAACCCCAATCACCCCATGTCATTCGGACAAAGGCAACTTATCCTCACCTTTAAAAAGGCAAGACCTCATAAAGAAAACAATTTTAACCTCAACTTCACAACTTGAATAAACAAAAGAACTTAGGAGACAAAGACTGAACTGAATTAAAAAAAAAGCGACTTTATATGTGTTATTAGGCTCACATTAAAAAGCAAAACTTTGGCCCTGGCTGGTGCGGCTCAGTGGTTGAGTGCCACCCTGAGAACCAAAGGGTCGCCAGTTCCATTCGCAGTCTAGGGGCACATGCCTGGGTTTCGGGCCAGGTCCCCAGTAGGGGACACATGAGAGGCAACCACACATGGATGTTTCTCTCCCTTTCTTTCTCCCTCCCTTCCCCTCTCTAAAAAATAAATAAAATCTTTAAAAAAAAAAACTTTGGACAATAACTTTCAAAAATTAAAATCCTATGCTTTTCTTATAAGTGTACAAAATTTCTATAGTAGCAAAGAATTTATAAATTTAAATATGAAACCATTTTTACAGTGGGATGTTCTTAATACACATTTTCCAATGTAAAGAAAAAATAACAAAAATAAATTACACTTTTAATAGTAATTTTTTTTCCAGACAGAGACCCCTAGAACTAAAATTTTAACAGCAAAGCTACAAAACCAAGTTTGGCAAAGAACATCACCTTCGTGATACAGCAGCATGACTACAAATGGATTAGCAATGACTACACTAAATTACTGTTTGCTTTTCTACCTGCTTACATATTAGTTTCAATACAGAAGGAGCATTTCTGAATAGATTATGTTACTAAGCATGAAAAAACCTTATAAGTATGGGAAGAACCCACTCAACGTTTTTATAAGAAAAAGACATATATATATTTAACACTTTAATTCATATGTTAATTTTTTAAAGAAAAAATTAACATAAACTATACAATAAACTATAATCAATCAAACCTTCCAGAACAGTATATTTCTGACAAATAAAATCAATGAATCATTTTACTTCATTAATACGGGTACTTGTCAATTGATTCTTCAAGTTAGTTAAAAGATCCCTTCCACCATGTGAGAACACAGCAAGATGTCGGCAGTCTGCAACCCAGAAGAGGGCCTTCACTAAAACCTGGCCATGCTGGGACCCTAATTTGGGACTTCTGATCTCAAGAACTGTAAGAAGTAAATTTCTATTTTTGATAAGCCACCTGGTCTGTGGTATTCTGTTATAGCAGCCCAAAGTCAACCACCCATGTTTGCCCTTCTGGAATTGATCATGACCTGGGTCAGACCACCTGGACTCATCTACTAACCAGCATGGCCCCCTCCATCCTGGTCCTCAGTTCCCCACCTCTACAGGAAGAAAACCACATGGCTTCCAAAGGACCCTCTGGTTCCTTCCATATCCTCTGGATTCAGTGGCTCTACTTTGTGTTACTGCAAAAAAAGCTGCAATTTTGGCTGAAGGTGAAAGGCAGATGAGCAGGAAAGGCCCGTCCTACTCAGGAGACGCACACCTGTGGGCTGTACCTTTGAAGGGAGCAGAAACCAGGGGAGGTGAGTGAGGGAGCCTGGGGCAATCGCGCACTGATGACGCTATGGGCAGAAACGGGAGATGGAAGTCAGACTCCTGGTTGAGTGTTGCCCCATGATGACCCAATGGGAAGCCACACTCTGAGCTCTGAGATGTCACCCTCATTTGGGGAGGAGCCAGTGAGGGGAGCCCCTCCTAGTGGCCTCCTATCCCTGCTGCTTCTGCCCCAACAGAGCAAAAGGTGCTAATACCTCTAAAATCAACTCCCCACCACTTTTTTCTATCAGACTAAAGAAAGAAATTCAGACTGGACGAGAGCCGTTGTATTAAAATTTTATGTGAAATTCTATAAAATATATAGCGTGACCAGAGGTCACCTGCCCACAAGTCCTGGCCTGGGTACCACTGCTCAGCACTTGATGTGGATGGCTGCACTGCCCTGCTCCTCAAATTCTTCCTTGCTGACCCAGAACTCCTGGAAGGTCTGCAGGGATGCCAAGATGGAGCCACCAGTCCACACAGAAGTCTTCCTCTCGGGTGCAGCAGATACTGTGAGGCTGTCCCGGGGGCAGAGGCGGCTCAACTCCCTCTGAAAGCGCTCGGGAAAGCCATCCAGCATGGTGCAGCCGCCACACAGCAGCACGTTGGCGGCCATCTCCTCTTTGAAGCCTGCCTCCTGGCAGTGGCCCAGGCAAGTGGCTGTGAGCACAGGGAGGCCGGGCTGGGTGCTGCCCACCAGGCTGGGTTTGAAGAGCATCTCGGCGCACTGGAAGCGCTCATGGCCAATGGTGATGAGCTTGCCATCAGGGAGCTCGTAGTCTACACGCAGCTCCTCCAGGGGCAGGCCAAGCTCCTCCTCGGGCAGGAGAGCCGAGTAGCAGCAGGTCTTCTTGACATGCTCGACAATGTGCAGGTGGTTGTCAGTGAGCTCGTGGCCAGCCTTGTTGAGCAGCTGCCGCAGGTAGTTGGTAAGGTCCCTCCCAGCATAATCAGCACGGACCGTCAGGCCTGGCAGCACGTTGCCCTCTGAGATGGGGACCACATGAGAGACACCATGCCCGCTCTCCACCACCAGCCCTGTGGTCTTTCCATAGGAGTAGATGGACAGCAGTGACTGAGATGTCACATGCATGGCAGGGAAGCCAAAGGTCTCAAACATGAGCTCTGCATACTTCTCCCGGTTACTGCTGGGGCTGAGTGGGGGGTCAGACACCAGCACAGCATACTCTTCAGGGCGGATCTTCATGACCGTGTGGAAGATGTACTCCCAGATGTTCTGGACACAGTCCCAGTCCATCACAACACCATATTTCAGAGGGTTAACCAGCTTCACAGGTTCCTCCATGTTGAGCAGCTCATGGCCCACATAGATCTCTTTGTGGGTGTCGCCCACATCAGCTGCCTCGGAGTGGCGCTTGCCCACCGTGGAGGAAATGAAGTAGGTGGGCCTCGGCTCTCCTGCATAGCCACACTTGCAGTACTGTGAGCCCAGGTCAATGATGAGTGCCTTGATCTTGCGTACATTCTTGGGCTTCATCTTCAACTGAGTGGCTGCATCTATGTCCCAAGTACCAGCATCAAGAGCTGACAGTGTTTCTGCCTCTCCAGGGTCACCTTGACCTGTGCCCACAAGTGTGGGGCTTGAGCTGTTTCTCGTTGTCATCTGCCTTCCTTGCTCACCTTTCTCACATCCACATCCTAGAGCTCCGTGGAGAGATATGAGGGTCCACCTCCAACAGTGCCTTGGGAACCACTTGGGATTGTGATGTCACTGTGGGCGGGTCCATTCCAATAGCCAGGGGAGGGACTGGCTTTTGCAGGCCCGTGATCTGCCACCCCTAATCCTATCTACTTAGCTTGACTCTGCTCTGGGCAGAGTAGGTGGGCAGCACAAAAGCCCAAGCACACTGGTGTCTTAAGAGTTTTTTGCTCCTGACCCCTTAAATCCATGCTTCTAATCCTCTGTTCACTAAACAGACAAATACCTTTTCCTCCTCTACTTCTTGGCTGTATGAGTGATGTATATTTGAACCCTTACAGTAAGCCAGGCATTGTACCAGAAACCTCATATGTTACTTAACAGAATCCCATGGGTAGGTAGACCTGAGGAAATGGAGGCTCATAATTCTAATGCCTTTCCCACAAGCAGACAGCTCTTGGAGTGTTAGTAGTTTAATGAAAATTCATCCAACTCCAGTGCACCAGGTTTGCCTATAGAGTATGAGGATCCCAACAGTACTTTCATTCCTTTAACATTTACTGGGCTTTATGGTGGGTCCAGCAAAGTACAGCCTACCAGTGACAGAAACTCAGCCACAACCAGTGCCCAGTCTCGGTGGGAAGAAGATGGAATGGATGCAGAGGAGTCTGCCAGTGAAAGTCTATTGGGAGAACAGAAGTGCATAAAAAAGGGAGCAGTCATTGGAGAGAGGGGGTCAAAAGGTTCCTGAGAGAGGTGATGACCAAGTTGAGTTCTGAAAGATATGTGGGCATTTGTCAGGTGGTTGAGAGAAAAGTATCCCCAGCAGAGAGCGCAGCCTGAGCAAAGGCTGAGAGAGGGACAGAGTGGGGACCTGCCTGTACTTAAGGTGTTTGGAAAACTGGATGAAACTAGAGGGGTCATACAGCCAACCAGGGAGAACCTCGAACACTAGGAGTAGGAGCTTGGATTGAATTGAGGACAGCTGGAAAACAATAAAGACTCTAATCAGACTAGTGGTCAGATTTGACTACTAAAAACTTTAGAAAAATCTGTGTTCAGCTGTAATATAAAGGGGCAAAACTCTGAGACCTATAAGGAGAAATGAAGAACTTCCTGTAAGACTCGAAGGAGGACCAAACCAGGGCTGTGGCAGTGTGGAAGAGCACAAGGGACAGGTTCTACAACGTGCTGAAGGTTCGTTCCCCGACTGTCCTCAGTTCAACCCAGGCTCTTGCTCTGGCATTTGGGGCCTTCTCTGGTTGGCTCCCATGCCAGCTCTAGCCTCGAGCGCTGTACTTCCATTAGATTGACCGGATTACATGTGGAAAGTGAGGGAGAAACATGAACCTCTTACCTCTGTCCAAGGGAAGAAAGATGGTTGGTCATCAGAATGGACACATTCATTGCATTCCCACGGGCCCCTCCATCCAAAATTGCCCCAGACCCCACCAGAAAACAAACATATTAGGGTTTTGGTGATAAAGAAGTAAGAGAAAAAAGGGAAGAGAAACAACTGGGGTTGAAGAAGTTTTCAGAGAAAATTAAGAAAAGCAGAAATAGCCCTGGCTGGCGTAGCTCAGTGGATTGAGCGCGGGCCTGGGAACCAAGCAACCATGGTTCGATTCCCAGTCAGGGCACATGCTTGGGTTGCAGGCCAGTTCCCAGCAGGGGACACACTATAGGCAACCATACATTGATGTGTCTCTCCTTCTTTCCTTCCCTTCCCCTCTAAAGATAAATAAATAAAATCTTTGAAAAAAAAAAAAAAGGAAGAAAAGCAGAAATAGCTGAGGGATTAGGTTATGTGGCTAGGGAAATAAAAAGGGGATTTTAAGACACAGTCAATGCTGCTATCAAGCATGTAAGAATGTTAATGAAGAACTCGGGGGCATTTTTTATTGCTGAACTGTTTCTTGGAACATGGCACTTTGAAACTGGATTATGTGGGGAACAACTTCATAACGATTAAAGTGATGAGCACCACCAAGCTCCACTGGTGGTGTCACAAATCACAGAACCTAAGGATCGGACACGTGCTCCGGCAGAAACAGCGGTGGGTCCCAGACTCTTCCTCACACTGGGTTTACATATGGACCTCTGGGAAGAGGACATTAACTGGTCTTGGGTCCACCTTCGAGGTTGTACAGGGCAAGCTAATTCTTCCATGTGACAACTCTTATGCTATTTTAAGGCAATGCTTATGGAAAAATAAATAAATACATAAATAAATAAAATAATTTAGTTAAGAGTGGGTACATTTTAGTAACAGTGTATAATGCAAGTTAAGGAATTAATATATACTACTGAGCTTTACATAAAAGATTTTGACTCTAACCCAAAATCATCATTCGAAATCGTCATTAAAGAAGAAGAAAATCAAATGCTTTACCTGGATCTGAATGGAAGGAGCCTCTAGTGCTCTGTAAACCATTGGCAGGACGCTGTTCTTTATCTCATCAGGAGGAGTTTTGGTTAGTAGCAAATCCATTTTTTGTAAGAAAATTAATAAAATCTGTATAGAAAAAGGGAACGATGTATTAAAGTCCAGAATCTTTATGTGACTTTACACATGCCAAAATTTAAAGTATCTTCTAAAGAGTAGGTTATATATTTTGACACTCACCATGTTGCTAGCCTGAGAGCATGGAAGACAAAAAACATACAAATCAAGTCTCTTACATTTCTGGAAGCAAAATATTTAACATCTGCCCTCAGTTTAGACATTTAAATAAAGGCCCATTTCCTAACTCTCACATATCTTTAGTAATACGTCACTCATCAACAAGTACCAACTATCTGGAAAGCAACTGGGTAAGAAAATAAAAGGCTGAGGGCAGCAAAACCACAAGGCCCATAAAAGTAAATTCTATCACTCGGCTTCTGAGGGCTCAAGAGAAGAAGAAAAGGTACAGCTCAAGAGAATAGTAAAAATGATTGTCAGGAAAAATTCTAGAAATAAACATTTCAATTCATTTTTCCACCTAGCTGTTACTACATACCTAAATCATAAGGAACAAACTGCCCCTTCTGTTCCTGAGGAACAGTTAGTCTTGCCAAGGCTTGGTTAAAATGTTTCAGAAGGAATTTTTAGCTGGACTACTAAGGAAAAAAAAGAGTACCAAAGAATGGAGACAAGTAAGAATTCAAACGATAGATTCCTTAGGATACTATCTTGACTGACGCAGAGCGTAGTGACCATGTGGCTCCACTACTCACTACTTTCTCTCCCGACAGCTTCACAATGTTTGCCTAATTCTGCTTCAAAGCCCACAGTTCCCTCACCTGCCCTTTCCTTAGCTGCAGGAACTCCTGCCTTACTGCCGCAGACGTCCTCCTGTTCCCCTCCTTTCAAGGGAAGGACTGCAAACAGCCTGCCACAAAACCATTAAATCAGGTGGTTGAGAATTCACCAATAAGCTAGTGCCATGTAGTTGCAGAGGCACGTAATATTTACTATGTGCCAGGAAATTTCATTCACTCTCAACAACCTCTTTCATTTTGGAAATGACCAAAATAGAAGCTTTAGAGAGTAATGACTTGCTCACTCTTAAAGGACAATTCCAACCCAGGTGTATGATCCTAGTGCTCCTAAACCCAAGACTACCACGAATCTGGCAAATAAATATTGTAATAGAGTCTACATCAGCACTTACAATACATACATGTTAATTTTGGGTACTGTCACCATTTTCCCTTTTTTGATGAAACTATTCATTAACAATAAAATAAAGAAAAAATACTGGTATAAACCATCTTCAAATCAAATATCCTGAATAACAAAAGAACAAAAAATCTCAGAAGCATACGAAAAATATAAATCCTTCTTTATCCAAATCTATAACTTTCAATAAGGGCAATGGGAACAGTGGAACACATACAAAATCTCATTACAATTTTCTGAGATGGTACCTTATGAAAAGCTGCAGACATTTACTTGGAGAGTTCAATTACAATTTTAGGAATAGTTTACTTCAAACATGCAAAACAGCAGACTAATGGAAAAGAAAAGTCTCTATACTTACCTCATTTTTTAAAATGTCAGATATCCATTCCTTTTGTTTTCGATGATAGTCATCATTGATTAACATCATCGAAGAACAGTAGATAAATAGGAAAAATACCTATATACATACCTGTATTGGTTCTTGCTGCTTAAAGACAGGGCCAAGTTCAGGTAGAATTAATTTGACATATTCTTCTTTGGTGCATTCTTCAGCAATTAGAAGAACATTGGGCAAAACAAAAGGTACCATGTCAGGGTTTACAAATTCTGAAGTCAAAGAGGGCAAAATTCTCTGCACAATGACACGCTGAAAGGCAAAAAATGTTTTCATAATTTATTTCAGGTGTTTAGTATTAACATTGAAATTACACTTGCTAGTGAGACAATGAACTCCACAATGACAGAGTATGGGGCTTCTCTTCTGACATTTATCCTTCCAATTTTTAAATGCTATTTAATTACTTTTGAACAATATATTAAAAAGGTCCACGGCCCTGGCTGGGTGGCTCAGTTGGTTGAAGCATTATCCTGTACACCAAAAAGTGGTGGGTTTGATTCCCAGTCAGGGCACATACCTGAGTTGTGGGTTCAATCCCCAGTCAACCCTGACTGGAGGTACATCCAGGAGGTAACTGATCCATGTTTCTCTCCCACATCACTGACTGTCTGTCTCTCTCCCCACTCCCCTTTCCTCCTTTCCTCTCTCTCTAAAATCAGTAGAAACCTCTCCTTGGGCGGGGATTAAAAAGGAAAAAAAAAGGTCCACTAAACTTTTGGCTTCAGTTTGCAGTCTTTTATAGTCATAAGTTACATTTATTTCTTTGGAAGAGTCATTAGAGCAAGTCGAAGTAAACTTTAAATTCTAAAGTCCTGACTATAGTAAGAAACTGATCAACAACAAACCTTGGGCAGTTTTGGTAGAACCTTTGGCAATCCTTTGAAAAACTGTGATTTCTGAAGATTATCTCTTTGGAATAAGGTATCAAAATACTGCAGTGTTACTGCACCAACATCATCAAAGAAGGGAATCTAAAAACCAGAAAATAATATTATTTTAATAAATATTAAAGCACTTCTCATATCTGAAATCACCACAATTTAGTGAAAAAAGTATTCAGAACACTTAGCAAAATGCTAAAGATCACTTCATAAAAATTCTAATTATAAAAATCAGAATAAGAAGTAATAAATTATTTTTTTTGAGTTGGCTGGAGTAACATTTTCTCTCCATAACTAGTAAAATATTGAAAGATTAAGTAAAAATCTTGAAGGTATAAAGAATATCACTTATCTATTAAAGTCCATGCTTATATGAGTGAATTAGAAGGCTATAAATTCTTGGGATGGCCAAAATTTCTGCATATTTAATGGTGACTGTTAGAACTCTTGCTTATTTGAAATCTTAATTTTATACCACAGCAATTATACACATAAATTTTTAAAATGTTTAAGAATAAAAGAAGCCAAATGATTAATACATTCAAGAACATGGGTATTATCTGGGAACTGTATTTGACTAAATCTTGTTTTAGAAGCAGTTAATGATTTTTTTGTCCCTCCATCGAAGGCAGGAATTCATGTGTATTCACTTACCTTTGTCATTTGATCTGCATCTGGTCTTACAGTTGGAGTTACATTTAACAGTAGTTTTACATGTTCACGAACTTCCTCAGGTATATTTGTAAGTGAACTAGATCCCAAACGACTCAACTATTCAAAAAAGTGACAATATTAAATATGAATATAAAATATTCAGATATGCATTTATATTGTCAAGTCCACTTGAGAAACGTAAAATGTACTCAGAAAGATGTTTCAATTTAAAAAAATTGCTAATTCTACTACTACATGAAAATTAAAACACTTATCTTTATTACCTGAAACGCTTTATTCCTAAAACAAAATGTCCAGTATTTTTAACATATTCTAATATTCAGCTAGTAAATTCACCATGATTACAGTTGAAGTAACAAACTTTAATCCTCATTGATTACAGAATTACTTTTTTTAAGCTGATTTTATGCAAACTTAAAATACAAGACACTCAATTTTCTGAATACATTTTAGGAAAAAAAAGTCAAAGCAGCAGTTAATACATTTTTAATGCAAGCAAATATTTAAAGGCAAATACCTGATCCAACTGCCTACTGAAACTCTTGTAAATATCTTGCTTGTTAACTTCAAATACAGGTTTCCCTTTGTTAAATACAGCATAAATGACAGTCCCTAAAGAGTACATATCACTGGCTGTTTCACAGCTCACAGAAAGGATGTATTCAGGAGCCAAATACTCAGGATTTGGAAGACACAATGATGGTAAATTTGGGTCCCATTCTTTACAAGGAAACTTGGGCTATAAGACAAAAAAGAGATTCATAGCTTAAATATTTCAATTAAAGAAAGCCTTTAACAGGCAGTAACAATCTAGTTTTAAATTCATGTGCAGTCATACAAGTAAAAACTCTCATCCCCACCTTAAATCCTAAAATTCCCAAATTCCCAAATCTGGAAGGTGCATGGAACAAATTTAGAGATAACAGAAAGAACTGTTTAACTTCTGAGATTAGTGGAGCTCTCTTCCAGAAGACAATTATCAGTTTATCATACTGCATGAATATGGAGAGGTCTGGCCTATGTTTCATGATACACTGGCTTCAAGTTGTATGGGCTGGAACAGACTATCGTTTGAAACCTTGCTCTTTCACTAACTAGCTATATC